TCACTCAGATTTTTCTGAGGGCATGTCCTTTTTTTCGTCAACAACGAGAACTTCATCTTCATCATCGTCAATGACGATAGGTGCAAAGAGGTTGGTGTACGTCCTGCAAAACAAAGACGTTCACACAATGTAATTATAGACACACATAAATGCATATCCAATAAAAATCAAACCAATCAAATTGTTGACGAGCTCTTCCAGCTTAAACTCAATATCTAACCTTTGTCAGGAGAGAAATGTGTTTACCCCTCAATAATGTTTCTGATATTTTGTCTACCAATCTATATACAATTACACAAAACACACCTGTAACAGGAGCTCTCGACATCAAGACATGTGGAGGTACTAGCATAATTATGCTCGTCATCCAAGTGTATAGTCTGAAAGTTAAGAAATGTAAAAACAGGACATTCAATAAAATGACAACATAATTATGTAACAAACTCTATGGATTACTTAAACGGGATAGTTCAACATTTTGGGAAGCCTGTCTATTGCAATAATAATGAGAAGGTATATTACCAATGCCCGTTTTGAGAGTCCTGAAGCACAAATGCGAGCTGCTCAGTGAATACAATGGAGTTGGACAGTATAGGTTGTGTAACGATCCCTTCAGTCCACTAGGGGTCAGGGTTAAACTTATCAAATACACAATCCTATAATTCCAAAATGCTCTTATGGACAGGAATGTACCTGCTTATATGACTAATGATGATTAATGCAATAAGGAAAATTGACAAAATATTCAACTATGCCTTTAAGGAGGTGAGATAGAGAACAGAAGATGACATTCAGTGGAGACATTTCCCTGTTTACTTTTATTCTTGCAAATTTAAGTGAAATGTGGTACAATTGCCAATTCAAAAAACTGCATTATGCAAATATATGGCATGATAAAGTATTGAGTTAAGTTTTCTTATATGTGCTTCTGTGCTTGAATAGGATATCTGAAGTGACCTTTGATGCATCCACGATCATCTAACTCTCCATATACGCTTTCAATTTCTTAAACCTCTTACACCCTAAGGGGGTATAAATACATTTCTGCCTGACAAAAACACACAAAAGTAAATAACTTATAGCCTCACAGCTATTAGATTTAAGAAGAAACTTTTGGTACGTCTGTAAAGGTAAGATGTCATAGAATGGTTTTCTGGTGTCAGCACCATTGTAGCTTTGACCCTGCCTGAAATATTAGGGACAAAATACAAAATATTTTGCATTTTTTGAACCTCGCCAAAATTTTCTTTGAAATAAACATTGCAAAACACTACTAAAATATTATTTATAGCACAAAAAAGTAGTACAGACTTTCAAATCTAAATGTTGTGTAAAAATATACCAAATTTGGACTCAATCAGATGAGTCATATTTATTTTAGAATGGTATTAGTGAGAAATTTCTTAGGCGGAGAGGCCATTTTGGCACATTTATCCATAAATGTCACCAAACTGTGCCAAATATGTTTTTTTACATCAATACTGGGGGTTTGTTAAAATTACGAGGTCACGTAGCAGCTGGACCCGCCGGTGGGTCCGTAGGGTTCTAGGGGTTAAGTCAGGCACATTCACAAAAGGCTTGTAGTTAACAGTCCATCTGAAATGGCTTTGTATCCCCCCTAAATGAAAAGCAAAGCTTAAAAGCACACAACTGCAATAAACATAATACTATGATTATGAGTTTACTTCAATGGACTTTGGTCTAAAGGTATAAATGTAATCATAACATCAAAAACAGATGGTGGACGATGGCTCCTCTCTATTTACTGCAGGATGGAAAGATATAGAGGATATTTTGTACCCACAGGCATCAGACTTTCTAATTCTTCACTGAATGGTAGATGAGCTGCCAGAAGTGAATTTCCCTATGAGGATCAATTAAGTTATTGTTGTTATATTAGACCATATAATAGTTACATTGATGGCGTCTATGTAAACATTTAGCTATTGTTTTGTTTCATACCTAAAGTCATGGACCAGTGAGGAAGATAGAGACTGTATGTAAATAATACTCCATTACCTGATGTACTTCAGTAGAGAGTGACAACCCCCCATCACCATTCCTGAGGGCAAAAAAGCATAAATCATAGTATACTCCAAAATATATTGGTGACATTGCAAAACCAAACAAACATTGATTTATTGAAGTAACAAGGCATTAGCGTATAGCACACGTAACAAGAACAACAAATTACAAAGCTATGTCAATAGCAAATAAATATGTATGCAAATGCAGTAAAATCTAAATTTCTTTGGTACACACACACACACACACACACACACACACACACACACACACACCAACTACTTACACCTTGTCAGGCTCTTTGTGTACAGGACTGCTTTTGTGGTGAGGTTCAAATGGCTGTAGTAAAGACATAATTTAATTCAAATACAAGTATTTGTTTAGTACTGGTAGGCCAATGTCAAAAACCTACACAGGTTGAAGGCAGGTTAATCACAAAAATCACTCAAATATGTTTTAAATTACACTCACCAGTGTATCAGCTAGATCAAATTCTCTTGATGTTGTTTTTATCACAATCTCAGGGTCGGAGTCAGATGTGTCTGGCAATTCTCCAACTGAAAAACATTCAAATAGGCTCCCCTCAATGAAGCTTTCCCAACGTTCTCAAAAGAGACACATTACCGATACATACTTCAGACATTTGTCATTTATGAATACAGTGGCATTTCAGTGTCCTTGTGAAGCAAGTCAAACGACACAGGCTTTAAGTCTAATCTAGAGGATTGGTTTGCTTTTTTCATAACACTAGGTGTAGTGTTTTGTTAAAACTGTAAAGCAAAAAATGTGTAGTATAATTCTTTAAGTGATGAATGACCAACATATAGCATTATAGCAAGTCCAGCCATCTCTGCACTGGACACAACTAGGTCATAACAACACAGTTTACCTTTCTCAAAGTCTTTTTTCTGGCAGATAAAAATGATGACCCGCTGATATGTCTTGCCAATTTCTTCCTTGTATGCTTTTAGAGTAAATGGTCTTTGTGTCCCAGGGATATTAATAACTTCAGAGCCATCTGGATAAAGAAGGAGGAAAGGTCCTTCATCCAGGTCTTTGTTGAAGTCCCTCATTTTCCTTACTGCCTCATTAAGCAGATCTAGGGCAGTGATGTCAGGATGTGTAGAAAGGAAAATAGTTTTCCCACGCTTTGGCTTGAGGACACCACCCTTCCCAATGGTCATCAAACCAATATTTATCTGCAAAATAAATAAATTAAATTGTAAGTGGGTAATTTTTAAAGATCAATGTTTACTTAAAATGATCAGTAACGCTATGTTACATGTCACACTTGGATACAAAATGGGCAATTATTAAAATTATTATCAAAATACCACTGAAAACAGAGTAACCCACTGTTTATGATGAAGTGGCCTTTATTGTCATTATACAATGAACTGTACAACTGAATTATGAGGTTAGAATGGAGGTTTAGTCCTGAGCCGCTGCGGGCAAACATAATTTTAAGTGCCCATCAAAAACCCAGTAAACAGCAGATTACTTTTCAATACAGGTAATTGGTAATACAATGATTTGCATGTCACGGTTACATATTCATCATAATAAGAAACCAGCAAATATGTACAAAAGTGAAAACAGGACAGTGTCATTGTCTGAGTAATATGGTCGTGGCACAGAAGCACATTAGTTTTATGCAAAAATATACTGGTCACCATAAAGATGACGCTATCATCAGGCTTACTTTTAGAGAACTGTGATGATGGAAGAATGTCAACAGCTAGTTAACCAGTTGTTCATTCTCACTATGTAACCAACTTACCTGGACTTTACATATTTTCTTTGATTTCATTTTCCCACATGAAAAGTTTTGCCTCTCTTCCGCTTTTCTCTTTCGGTACTCTAGAAAGGTCCCTAGAGTAGGGGTTTGAATAGTCTGTGATTCTACATGGTAGCAAAGGAAAAATATGTTACATTATACATACAGCAGTAGTCTAATGTTTTACAGCATACAAGAAACACATTTTGACAACACATTATCTTTTGTAAAATAGGGGTGCAGTTTTGGTGACACATAAAAAATGAAGCTAGAAAGTGAAAAAATCTAAAAACACACACAATCTTTTCTTTATGGCCTGCAAATAAACTAAACCCTGAAGATGCTGCATTTGTCTTCAGTTTCACTGCCTACTGCAAGTTATAACCTGCATAAATACATCTTTCACTCCAAACGGCAAGATTCATGAAACACCTGCAAAGAAATTATCGAGTAAGGTCTGGAAACTGACAGTTGGCCAACTAGCTCTGGTAGGCTAACGGTACCCCATGCAAAAGTAGCCTAACGTTACATTAACGTTATATCCGTTTACTTACTTGAAGGTCCCGCGTGTGCGTCGCTACCGTCTTCCTGCAGCCTTTTCCCACATTCACTGCAGAAGTTAGGCTTCTCTTTGAACTCTTTCCCACAATGTTTGCAATACATGATAGCGGGCTCTGTGCTTCCACTTGTCTGGAGCACAACAGAATTCTCCGCGCGTAAGTTTGGCGGTGATGTCTTTCCGGTTCAAAGGACGGACCAGTTCTTTTGTCCAATCAGCGATGATTCCTGTCGCCCGAGGGTACCTAGCATTTCCGTTTTGGTTAATGTCGCTGTCTTTTCTCTTTTTGTGTTGTGTTTTTTCTTTTTGTGTTGTGTTTTCTCTTTTTGTGTTGTGTTTTTTCTTTTTGTGTTGTGTTTTCTCTTTTTGTGTTGTGTTTTTTCTTTTTGTGTTGTGTTTTCTCTTTTTGTGTTGTGTTTTTTCTTTTTGTGTTGTGTTTTCTCTTTTTGTGTTGTGTTTTCTGATTTGCCGTTGTGTTTTCTCTTTTTGTGTTGTGTTTTCTCTTTTTGTGTTGTGTTTTCTGATTTGCCGTTGTGTTTTCTCTTTTTGTGTTGTGTTTTGCACCTCAGGGCCACCGTAGAAGAGGGATTGTTATGGCGAATAAAAAAAATATCTTAACTTCCTCAGTTGGTGGCGGTAATGCACCGTATAGCTGTTGGTCGAACGATATAAACAGACGAAGAAGATGCTAGTTATGGCTGTTCCGTGACTGAAGCTTCAAAACCCACAACAGCTACAGCAATGAATCATTTGTGAGCGTTATTAGGTGCATTGTTGCTGTTTAGTGACAGTATGATGTCACACAGGAAGAAAGGTCGTTCGGACATGTGGGGGCACTTTAAATTAATCGCTCCTGATAAGGTAAGAATGTAACGTAACAACAGTAGATGCATAATAAACTGTAACTGAGTATGGTCCATTTTTTTAAAGGGGATATATCATCATATTTTGATGATATTGTAATCTACTCGTTTTTTTAAATATTAAGGATAAATTAATCAAAAATCGGCCTCTTCATAATGTTTAAAAGCATGGGAGTGTGTAATTTTTAAAAGAATTTCTGACAACAAAAGCATCTTTGTGACCACGCCCCCTTAAAGAGGACCGGTGTTCGGTCAGTTTGGCATACCCGCACATAATAGCATACCGGAAGTTCATTTTTATAACTGTACCTATCAGATCAAAGTACCTTTATATAAACAGCACACCAGTATTTATGAAGCTTTCACTCTTATTTAAATAAACACAGTTAATGGAGCAGTTTTGCAGCTGTTTTCCATACATCTCAAATCTAAATGTGCTTGAAAAGAAATGTTTTAATAGACACAACAAAGAGCTGGAAGCAAAAACATCAAGCGAACATAAAGGAAACATCTACAGACATCTGAACAGACATCCCAAGTTCCAAAGACTCATTTCAGGGAGATGCTTAAAACATTTTTTACAGACGAATTTAATAGTTTTTTCTTGAGTTCTAATTCAAATTTTTTGGAAAACTGTAGTTTTAACTATTATATATTAAGTCAAAAATATGTACAATTCTTGTAAAATTATAAATATATATTGACCTCATAAGAAATAGAATTTCTATTGAACCTAATTGAAAATACATTTCCCTTTATGCAGTTCTCTTGGATATTTGAATCTCTTGCCCTGATTATTTATTTCATGCTCTTCTGGGCCCCCATGAAAACATGCTGCCCCCCTCCTGGCCCCCTGGTGCATTTGGTCTAGATCTGCCACTGTTCCTCACCTTCACTAGACGTGGATATACTTTAGTATATTCTGCTGTAAAATTAGTCTTATATTTTCATTTTTTACTCAAGGATTCAACCTCTGCCGTTTCATAGGATGCACAGCTTTGAATGGTCACTAGGTGACTGCCAGAGAGCAACCCGAAACATATCAGACTGATTCAATCAGTTCTCTGATCAACCAGTCACCTGGAATGCTTGTTGAACAGAGCATTGGTTTGGACACTGCACAGGTTTCACAAGCAACCTCCTCCCCACATCCCGCTGTTGTTGTGTCTGCACAATCTCAGTAGTTCTAATCCGCACATGATGCATGAATTATTGCCTGCCTGCTCTCACTTGCATTAAAAAAACACCACCTCGCAGAGTCTAAATCCGGGATAATTTATCCGACTCACAGGGATCCGTGAACAACTATCTATATCAGGGAGTCTCCCGGAACTTCCAGGAGACTTGGGGTGTCTGTTCAAAACAACATACAACAACAAAAGCTAGATCATGTATGATTGAGAAAATTAAATGAAAAGAAAAAGAAATTGAGTTTGCTGAACAGCTTGTGAAAAGCAGCTATGTTTTATTTTGCTTTCAGGTATGACAGCATAGCTACTGATCTGATGTCCTATGTGAGTGTGGCTGTTCTTTTTTATCTATTGGATCAACTTTATCAGGTTAACAGAGACTGGATGTTTTTATTTGTCCTATGTTGGTGAAAAATATTTGCCAATGTCAGGGACTGCATCTGCCATCCCTTTATCACTATCATTGTTACGGTGGTTACTGGCAATTAACAGGGTGACTCGGCTCACCACAGAGCACATCCAAATCTCACCATTGGGGTACTGGTTTCCTAGGTCTCAGAGCTCCTCTGATCAGACAACCTTAATCAGAACACCTCACAGAGCAGGTCATTAGTTTAACAACTGATTTTTGAGATGGAGACTTTGCAACTACTACCTTGTCTTGGATGATGGGTTGCATTGATTCAGTTCAGTTTATTTATATTGCATCACTTAACAACACATGTCCTCTCAAGACCATTTACAGAGACAATTTAACCAGATCATACATTCAGAGTAGTTTAAAGTTTTCTGTCTAAGAAAAACCAACTCATTGACTTGAAGACAATCCCTCACACTAAGCATGCTTAAAGCAACGGTGGAGAGGAAAACTTCTTTTTAACAGGAAGTAACCCCCAGCAGAACCAGGCTTAATGCTCAGTTCAGTGTTCGATGTGTATTTACTCTTTACCAACTACCTTTAGCAACTACCTTTCTATTTAATATATATATTGCTTTGGTTGGTGGAAATGAATGTAACTACTGTTACAGAAGTTGCTAACCTAGCTTTGAAAAGAGTAAGTTGAATTGAGTATATTTACATTTATTACATTTAGCAATTTAAAGAATATTCTAGAGAAAGAAAAGTGAAGCTATCAGGGCATGACGTTTCAAAATCAATCTGCATTTTTACTTTCAAGTGGCTTTTTTACAGGTCCGGTGCTTGTTGTGTGTAGCTGAGCTGAAGTATCATGGGAATACCTCCTCTATGATTAGGCACTACGCTAGCAAGCATGGATCTACATTAAACCAGGGGGAGATAAATAAAGGTAGGGTATATGTAATAATTATTAAAACAAAACAAACATGTTCCATAAACCACCAGCTTCTCTTACATTGTATTATTGTTTATTGTCCTTTATTTGTGTATTTGTCTAAGTGGATGAGAAGCCTGACCTAGATGAGGCTCTGGTGAACATGCTGGTAAAAGAGCCAGAGCCCTTCTCCATAGTGGACGCATTGCTTTTGAATGACACTGAAGAGCCACCCAGGAAGAAAGTTCGCTCTGACATGTGGGAATATTTTAAACACATCAGTCCTGATCAGGTAGGTGTACTGGCTCTTTGAGATGTAACATAAAACTAGAAAGATGCATAAACGATAGTAAGTTGCAGTTCATATAATCATGGTAGTTGAAGCTAGTGGAGTTGATGCTCCTCGATTTTCACCAAATATAAATCTTCTTGCCTCCTAAAATCTGTCAAATTTACAGTCTGTGTTCATGTTTATGAAAATCAACAACTTAAGGCCTCTCTTTTGCTTCCTGTCTTTTTCTACTGGAGTAACTGATTGATCCAGGTGTGCCTGACCTCAGTAACCAGGACCAGACACACCTGGATTAATCAGTGCATAGAGCCCTTTGCTAATTTGTAGCCCCTCCCTTCAGAGTTGGTTTTGATCCACCTCTCTGCATACATGTCAGTTTGTTTCACCAGCTGCGTTTTCATTAGCAATCAAATTGTAATCACAAAAATAACAAAAACATAAAACGGGCAAATGTGATTTCTGTGATAAATATGAAACCATAGAACATGTTATATTAGAATGTCATAAATATGAAAAAGAGAGAAGATATATGAGAAGAGAGTTTGAAGACATTAAGGAGAAGGTTAATTTATTAGATACACTATATTGCCAAAAGTATTTGCTCACCCATCCAAATTATTGGAATCAGGTGTTCCAATCACTTCCATGGCCACAGGTGTATAAATTCAAGCACCTAGGCATGCAGACTGTTTTTACAAACATTTGTGAAAGAATGGGTCGCTCTCAGGAGCTCAGTGAATTCCAGCGTGGAACTGTGATAGGATGCCACCTGTGCAACAAATCCAGTCGTGAAATTTCCTCGCTCCTAAATATTCCACTGTCAACTGTCAGCTGTATTATAAGAAAATGGAAGTGTTTGGGAACGACAGCAACTCAGCCACGAAGTGGTAGGCCACGTAAACTGACGGAGCGGGGTCAGCGGATGCTGACGCGCATAGTGCGAAGAGGTCGCCAACTTTCTGCAGAGTCAATCACTACAGACCTCCAAACTTCATGTGGCCTTCAGATTAGCTCAAGAACAGTGCGCAGAGAGCTTCATGGAATGGGTTTCCATGGTCGAGCAGCTGCATCCAAGCCATACATCACCAAGTGCAATGCAAAGCGTCGGATGCGGTGGTGTAAAGCACGCCGCCACTGGACTCTAGAGCAGTGGAGACGCGTTCTCTGGAGTGACGAATCGCGCTTCTCCATCTGGCAATCTGATGGACGGGTCTGGGTTTGGCGGTTGCCAGGAGAACGGTACTTGTCTGACTGCATTGTGCCAAGTGTAAAGTTTGGTGGAGGGGGGATTATGGTGTGAGGTTGTTTTTCAGGAGCTGGGCTTGGCCCCTTAGTTCCAGTGAAAGGAACTCTGAATGCTTCAGCATACCAAGACATTTTGGACAATTCCATGCTCCCAACTTTGTGGGAACAGTTTGGAGCTGGCCCCTTCCTCTTCCAACATGACTGTGCACCAGTGCACAAAGCAAGGTCCATAAAGACATGGATGACAGAGTCTGGTGTGGATGAACTTGACTGGCCTGCACAGAGTCCTGACCTCAACCCGATAGAACACCTTTGGGATGAATTAGAGCGGAGACTGAGAGCCAGGCCTTCTCGTCCAACATCAGTGTGCGACCTCACAAATGCGCTTCTGGAAGAATGGTCAAAAATTCCCATAAACACACTCCTAAACCTTGTGGACAGCCTTCCCAGAAGAGTTGAAGCTGTTCTAGCTGCAAAGGGTGGACCGACGTCATATTGAACCCTATGGATTAGGAACGGGATGTCACTTAAGCTCATATGTGAGTCAAGGCAGGTGAGCAAATACTTTTGGCAATATAGTGTATACTGAGGAAAAATTTAGGGAGTAAACACATACAAATAATTATTCGATTTCTAAAGAAAACGAAATTATTCCATAGAATTTAATTATAGTAAGTGTGTTTGTGAGTGAAGGAATGATATACAAAGCTGTGCACAAATATGTTTATATCTTTAAGTGTGAATGTGTGAATGTATGTTTAGAAGAAGTTAGGGTAGAATGTATCAGGATCAATATTTAAACCATCACGAACCACACTCCATACCAGTAAGTGGCGGTAATGCTACTAACAGTTTGTTGCCAACCGCCATAAAACTCGACAAGAAGAAGAAGAATCACAAAAATAAATTTGCTGAATGAAAACATTGTAGTTTTGGAAATAAAAAGTTTTTACTCTTCAATGAGGTGGTTTTTCAGTCATATCAAAAGTCTTATATTTTGTAAAACTGCAACGGAGACACTTTTTTTGCATCAGACGGGTCACATGATCTGCAACTGGACCTTTCTGCCTCGTAAAAGGGATGAAGAAGACATTAGAACCGTGACTGAAATATCGATAAGTCTTGTGGGCTTTTTTTTTCTTATATCCGCCACAGCCATGTAGATTTCAGAGTCATCATATGAAGAAACCTATTCACATGTAATTTTAATTGTTTGTTATTTAATAGAAATACTGTAATTTGCATTTTAGCTGAATATTGACACAATTTTGCAGACATTGTAATGGAAATGCAGCTACTGCAATTTTATCCCTGGGACAGTTTATAGCAAAGGACAAGAATGGCTTTATTAACCAAATGTAAAGCAGCTTTTACACTAATCTGCATCTCTTTACTCCAAAAATCCAATAATAATCAATACAAAACCTTTAATTTCCTTGTAGTTGTGGGTAGCAAGTGGCTTTGACATGTAGATAATGTGCAAGGAACACCCCCACCGCTGTTGTACTTCACTAGTCATAGAAAAAGTATCTCAGAGAGGAGTTTCTATCTAAATCTAAATGTTAACTCTTTAATTGGGCTTTAAATTAAACGTATAACTAAAACAAAAACGACACAAAATAGTACTGAAGCTTAACTTTGAGATCTCTACCTTCAAAAGGAGCTTGTGTTTGATATGACTCACACACTCCTCAGGTTTGAAGGATTGCATCTGTTTTTGTGCTATGGATGTGGCTGAAAGAAGAGGAGGAGAGAGATGCCCAGGATTGGCAACCCATGTCTACTCAACCTGATAATCATTAAACCCAAAATGCATATCTGTTTTTATAATGTTTCTCTTAACAGGTCCGGTGCTCATTGTGTTCAGCAGTGCTAAAATATCATCAGAATACTTCCTCTATGGTTAGACACTACACTACCAAGCATGGAGGTCCGGTCAACCAAGGGAAGACAAATAAAGGTAGGGTATATGTACTGTACTTCTCCTTGATTAACAGTAATACAAGTAAAAAAAATACTCTCCTGCACACTTTGATACATGCACTTATTATTTCTGCATGTCTGTCTTTATCTCAGAAGACCGGAAACGAGTGTTGGATGAGGCTCTTGTGAACATGCTGGTGAAAGATTCACAGCCTTTTTCCATTGTGGACGACTGTGGTTTCAAGGAGTTTGTGGCACTGCTTGATCCCACATACACTCTTCCATCCAAACAGGCGCTAAAGCAAATGGTAATCCAGCGTTATGGGGGACAGAAGAATACGATCAAAGGTCATGCAGAAGATGAGGACTCCGACACGGACTGCTAATGCAATCATCTGGACGCAGCTCTAGCGGTTAGCCTGAGATTATGTGATGGATTCATGCAAACTGATTAAAAGGCTTTGGGAACGGTCCCTTTCCCTGAAACTCATACAGCTGGTAGCATCTTTGCTATCACAGGATCTCTAGTGAAGAAATGGAGCATCAAAAGCACAGCAACCTTATTATGATCTAAGCTGATATGGTTAATTCTGTTAGAAGTCTCAGTCTGTGAACTTTTTCTTAATTTAAATCAACTCAAACAGGGGAGGTTAACAAAATTTTGACAGCAAAAGAGAAGCTCAAACAAGTGAAATCTACGATTAATTTTTGAAAATAAAAGTTATTTTGGAGGTGGGCACGCGCTGGATCAAATTTTCTCATCGTACCAGATCTTTTCCAAGACAGCCAGTGGGAGTGCCAACAACAGACTGAGAACTAACTGTCTGAGGAGAAGAAAGTGAGAGTTTTCCATATGACAAAAATGTTTATACTTATGAAAGTATGAAAGAGGTAGACTATTTTTGTTTGGCAGCGTGAGATTTTACATTTGCAGATAACGTCCAACATTTAGACATTTTCATTGGTCATCAATAGAGGGCAGATGGTTTTTATGAAGAGGGCTGTTTGTATCCTCTTGGAGTTGGAATCATCATTCAACAGCCCCAGAGGCAGTGCATACCCTGGACTTAAAATACATGTAAAGCAGGGATCCTTCACACTAGGACAAAAATGAAACCAGAACACTCACTGGTTTTAGCATAAATTACTCCTTGTTTTTTTGTGTTTTGTTTTGTTTCCAGGAACAATGTTAAGAAGCTTGATATAACTGATGACCTCTAAAATGTACGGATTATGCACATTGAGATTAGATCTTTTTTAGGGGTCTTTCTCTGTTTTGGAAACTCTTTAAAAGTCACAGATTTTCTTTTATTCTGAAGGTCTGGAAAAGGAAAATTAATTCTAGTGTTTTTCAGGTTTTTGTTTCAATTTTCCCATTTTTTAAATGACAACAGTGTAGAACCTGATAAATGCATATGTTTTCTCTTTTCACTTATATGGGGGTAGTGTTGGTCTAGTGGGTTAGAGCAGTGCTCTTCTGCTCTGAGAACGTTGCAAGTACCTGGTTCAATCCCCACAGCTTGCACTCTTGCTCCCTGAGCAACACCTTTAACCCCACACTGCTCCCCAAGGGGATGGGTTAAATGCAGAGAGTGAATGTCCCCATTTGTGGGGAAATAAAAGGATTTACATCATTCTACCCATCACATTTTGATGGGTAGAATGAGCGGTTTAGAAATCAAGAAAATGTAACTATACCAAATGTATAAAGCACACCTAGCAGTCTGCCAAAAACATTGTTTTAACCATTCATATAAACAGAATAAAATCAACAAAGCTAACAATTTGTCATTTAATTCATCTGTATTTAGGATAAATCATATTAATTGAAATGGAAAAAGCTCCAGACATTCATATTAAGATATTCAAGGTATGTTCAGTAACTGAAAAAAGCGACAAAATGAGGCATTGTCATAATCTAAGAGTAGGAAGCCAATTTTAGCATCATAGTGTTTTATTATTGTGGAACATGCAGAGAAACACACTCTTATTTAACATCCATATTTCATGGAAAAACATCTAGAAAAATATACAAAAACTTCAGGTATTAAAAAAAAAAGATATTGTAGTCTGGAAAAATCTGAATTTTATGAAAAGTCAGGAATGCTACGTTTAACACTCCTGTCTGTGACATATGGTACCTTCTCTTAAATAATTTCCTATTTTGGGGGAGTTGCAAACTTTAACAACATTTTTATGGTTTCTCCTAAACTACCCCAATGGACACAGCTTGAATTAAGCTTTTTTAACCAATAGGCTCTGTGTTATATGTTTGTGAAGACTCAGAAAAGTTTGAATAGATCAAGAATTTTTTTAATCAAGGTTTACAAACTTGCACATGAGGAGAAAATTTAAATTTACTCACAAAATGTGTGATGAAGCAAATCCTTAGATCATTTGAAGTAAAATGTTTTGACATGTTGCTGCACGTTCTTTAGTTTTTGGTGATGAAAGGTCTCCAACATTGCTTTACAAACCTCAGAGATGAAAAAGATAGGAACTTAAATCATCATTGTGTGCGACTTCTTACAGTAGGTATGCCTAAAGAACAGTGCATTGCAAAACTATTTATGCCCATCTTTTTCACAGTTTTAAACCTTAAAACTACAACACTTAAATTGTATCGTGATTTCAACAACTCAAAGTATTGCATTATGGTAATGTGGAATGTAAACGATAAAAAGTTTTCAGTGTTGTAGAAATACGACTGTTGAAGGTTTGGGGAAGCTTACATAAGGTCCTTTACTCTGACATTTGCCTTCAATGTCACCCTTGTGATGTAGCTTTTCTCTATAGGCCCTGGAGTTTATTTTTAAGCAAATTAGTGAGGAAACATTATCATGAACACCAAAGCATGGAGGGAGAAAGATTAAGAGAAGCTTAAGGCCGGTTTAGATTAGATTAGATTAGATGAGCTTCATTGATCTCTCAGCGGAGAAATTCACTGGTCACATATTGGCATAGTAATTAAAGAAGATGCAAACAAGGAGGAAAAGGTGCATTAGGAATAAAAATTAATAAAAAAAAAAAAAAAAAAAAGAAATAAAAAAATTTAAAATACAAGGGAGTAACACAGATATTTGAGGTGACATATGTACAATCAGGGTGGCTTATATACAGGTGGATTGACTTTTACATTAAAGTGTAGTAGGTAAGGAACAATGGTGAGGTAGTGGTATGACTATTATATTCACATAAAATATAATATAACATAGAAAGGTCATAACATACAATTTAGGTTTTTATTCTCTTGAAGATCTGGCCATTTAGCATGGTGTTGGAAGCATCATGCTGTGGGGACAGATTATGTTAGCAGGCAAAGGGAGAATAAATGAAATACCTACAGAAGCTTTAAAATACTAGAGGCTGGCAAAGAGCTTAACCTTTACTTCCACCAAAACAACCCAAATGTAAATCTTGTGCTATAATGGAAATTCTGAAATTTAAAGGATATTCCTGTTTCTGACCATTTCAGGCTAGAAGTTATTTTGCCTTTTTTCTCTCAATATTCTGAGAAATTGTCTTATTTCATCCTTTCTAGTTAAGTGTTGGAAACACAGAATTATTTTTACTATGGCACACATTTTTCTTTTCATTGTATGTAAACCATAAGCATAAAGAAAATCTAAGTAAATATACTCAACGTGTGTAGCAGTGACCTAATAAGTGGGAGCTCCACCCAGAGTTATTCATGTATAAGAACTGGGGGAATAGCAGAGGAGAGACCAAACAAGACTTCAACCTCAGTAGAGCCTCATCTTAAGATAAGTTATAAAGGCGGAGGATTTTTTTTTTCAGGTATTATGGACGAAATAGTAGAATTTAATAAGTTAATTTAGCAAAGTTTTTATTGTTTTTTTTTTTTTATATATATATTAAATAGAAACATTTGTAGTTTTTTTTGCAGACAGATTAATTTCTAAGTTTGAATGCACAATGCGTGCGCTAAATAACAGCGTGGATTCCCAGGATGTTCCGCGCGACGAGGGTCTGGCCCGGGTGGAAATCGCCCTGCTCGGTGTGATCTTCCTGACTGCCGCCATCCTCAACAGCCTCCTGCTGCTGCTCCTCTGGAGGCAGCGCAAGCAGATGTCCCGCATGCGCGTCTTCGTCTTCCACCTGTGCCTGGCGGACCTGGTGGTCGCCTTTTTCCAGGTGTGCCCCCAGCTCATGTGGGACATCACGGACCGGTTCGTGGGACCGGACCTTCTGTGCCGACTTGTGAAATACCTGCAAGTCCTGGGCATGTTTTCCTCCACTTATATGATCGTGGTGATGACGCTGGACAGATACCAAGCCATCTGCAACCCGATGGTGAAGTTTCAGCGGGCGCGCACCAGAGTGAACGTCCCCGTGTGCGTGGCGTGGGGGGTTTCTTTGGTGGGCAGCTTGCCGCAGGTTTTTATTTTCTCCCAAGTGGAGATCTCACCCGGTGTGTTTGATTGCTGGGCGGAATTCATCCAGCCGTGGGGGCTGCAGACTTACATCACATGGACCACTCTGGTTATTTTCATCCTGCCAGTTTCTACAGTTGTTTTCTGCCAGGTGCGCATCTGCAGAGCCATTCAGACCAACCTGTCCAAGAAGCCTCATAAGCAGGGATTAACCGTAGGTCTCCCCCTGCCATCCAGAGCCAGCGGAGCGGCTGGGATGTCTAAAGCCAGGGTGAAGACACTGAAGATGACAGTGGTCATTGTGTTGGCTTACATTATCTGCTGGGCTCCTTTTTTCACCGTCCAGCTGTGGTCCGCCTGGGACGCACATGCGCCTACAGAGAGTAAGTTACATACAACATCTGGTTTCTCTCTCCTTCTGTTTCTTACTGTATGAATGTAGCCTTAAACACAAGCTGATTTGGGTTCCAATTCTATTCAAAATCTATTAAAATATGTATTTGGGTTTCATGCAAGGTGATAAAAACATATAGCCAATCACTTGATTGGTATTTATTTTAATTTGGTATAATTAGTATATTACATTAGTATTTGAAACTATAAAAATAAAGAATTATATTATTTGTTTTTATTGTAAAAAATAAAAATGTACCTGTTTTTTTCTTCATAAAGAATTAAATGGTAAACATGGTTTGATAATTTGTTTTCATTGTGTGTTAAAATCAAAATATGTAGTTGTTTTTTATATTGGTAGTATTATTTCTTTTTTTTTACTAATATAGCCTATAGCCAGAGATTATATTAGAAAAGAATTTCAATTATTGCTTTAGTAATATCTTGAGAAAATGCATTAAATAAATAAAAAAAAATTAGTCAAAATTAATTTCTAATTGTTTATAACTTACAGCATACACAATTACATAAATGAAAACTGTAAAATTGTATATAATTATTTCATTCTGCTTTTAAATCTTTCATATTTCCATGTGCTGCAGGATATTATAACCTAATTAAAATGCCAGAAAAACAAAAACAAACCATCTGCAAGCAAAACTAGATCAATCATCTCCTGCAACAAATGAATATAAAATTTAAAAAAATTGATAAATAAATGTATGCTTCTACTGAAATTTAAAAATCCTTCATGTATCTATTTTCACATTGAATGATTTGGTTATATACATTTTTAAACAACTGTTGTATCAAATAGTAGTGTTTAGTAAGTTAAAGAGTAGAACAGGAAATGTGGCTCCAATTGTCACTCACTGATCAATGTGCTGCTTATAAATTACCAAGCTGCAAAGACAAAAACATAGACGATGAGAGCAGAGTTACATGCCAATTCAACCTGGAAAGACCCATGCAGAGAAAAGCTGCAATTAGAAATGTTTTATTCAATTAAATTCAATGTATTTATACAAGGAAACACAGTCAGATTGTTCAAAAATGTTTCTGTCTTAGGACATTAGGAAAACCAGCTGATTGTGAGGGTTTATTAACTATCTGCAATCCTGCACACCAAGCATGCATGTAGCGACAGCGGGGAGGAAAACTTCCTTTTAACAGGAAGAATCCTCCAGCAGAACCAGGCTCAGTGTGAGCAGTAGTCTTCCCCTGGGCCCTGGACACTGGTGGTGGAATAAGCCAGAGGGTGTGTTAGACTGAGAATGAGGGAGGGGATGGGGTGAAGGTGGGTGAAAGTTTGCATGCGTGTAGGAGAGAGAAGCTAAGCCAGGAGCTAAATGAATGGATCTTGCAAAATGATTGGCTTGGAAGAAGGTGCACCCCCTGGGTAGATTGGCTGGAGCAGAACAAAGGACACAGGTGGTTCAGGTTCACATTATCTGGACAAGATTGTGTACCTATTGCTGTAAAGTTTCTTTTATGTCACCTTTTTACATCAAATTGAATAATCTTTAGTCTTACATGGATATAAAAACTGAAATTTATTCGAGGACAATTATTTCAGTGGTTTATTTTAATGATTTAATTTCCTATTTTAATACTTAAAAGTGGAATTCATTCAGTGTTAAATTTGCATTATCACTTTGCTGCTGATAGATGAAAAATTACCAGAGAGAGGGCTATTCTTTTTTTATTCAATTCTATTACAAATATTCACTAATATTTTTTGCTTGTTTACAGTTGGTGTAGCTATTCCTTTGAAATAAAATCCTTGATTGAATAAAAAATTAGATAATTTTAAATTTCATAAAGATTTTCTGTAAACATTACTAGCTTTTTCATTCAGGATCTATATTCTCTGTTAGAGGTCAAGCAAACTGAGGTTAGCAGGTTTATGCCCTAAGCCAAAGTTTAGTTTGCTCTATAAGTAAATTATTTAGTATGTTTTATTTTTTCAATAAAGAAAACCTTGCTTTCAGATTTTCCTGCAAAAACCCATTACATGTTTT